AGAAAACGCACTCTTATTTTATTTTTTCTTTAGTACAGAGACCAAGGAGGAAGATAAATGAATGGTAAAACTCCTGGCACTGGATATTAGTTCAATCCATTGGAAGATGGGAATGACATCAATGCAAGATACCTCGGCAGGCAGCGTCTACCTTTGGCATCCCTTCTTAGGCCCAGCTCCACTCCAATACTTTAATTATGGAGGGCAATATAATTCAATTAATATACATGTAAACCCTAACTGAATTTCATTTCATTTGCTAAAACACTGTATATCATAAACAACTGCTGTGTTTTAAAAATAAAATACTTGCTTTGATCATTATTTCACCCTTTTGTCAGCACTGATGGTTTTCTTCAGCAACTTCTTCCTGTCTACATGTAGTTCCTTTAGCAAAGGCAGCATGTCATTTGTTGAATTTCCTCATGTCTACAACAGTGAACTATGCCTGTATTATATGTGTCAGTTCAGCTATTTGTAGTATTCATTGGGAATACATGTGACAGGGTGACAACACCGGAGGTTAATGGAAACCAAGGACAGAAAAAAAGAAAGAAGAGAGTATGGAACTTTCAAGGTGCTTAGACTGTCAGGAATAAAACCCAATATACATAAAATGTTTTATTGTATGGTTTTATATTAACCACTTCCAGACTGCATACTTTTTTTTTTTTTTTTTTTAAGTCCGCAAACGTGCAACTATAACGAAAAAAACCCGTAAGTGTTCACAAAAAATGTGCAAGTGCAAAACACCACACGAAAAAAGTGCACTTAGGGGTGTGTTTGTCCTACCCCGGAAGGGTTGGACCGTTCACCCGATCCCCCGGGCACGAAGCTCCTGACAGGGACAAGGTTCCCATTTGGTCCTCCTGGCCAAAAGGCCTGGTGGACCACCGTTCCTTATGCCCAGCCAAAGCCGGACATCCAGTACTAGGCAAGGGGGTTCTCCCGAAGAGAAAACCCCCTAGGGATCAGGGGAGGAAGGAACCGTAGGGCCACACATCCTCCCCCTAGACTTCAGGTGAGGCCCGAGGACCCACACCCTCCATCCGTGAAAAACACACACATAAGAACAGAAAAAGTGACAAGACGTGGGAGTGGTTAAATTAAATAAATAAAAAATAAAAAAGTGGTACCATGCCAAATAGTGCACAGACCAGGCCCTGAGGCCTGTAAAAATTGCCCCGGACTTAGCCAAAAGACCTGGTCCTTAGGGCGCTGTGCAAAAAGAAGTGAAAAACAGTGGCCATGTGTCATTTTCACACCGTGGGGTCCCACACCCAAGTGTTACTAGTGACACCCCTGAGAGCGTCTTCCCCAGGGGGCACTGAGTTTGGACTTTTTGCGTCCCCAGCCCCAGGCCAGACCAAGGTAGATCCGTCCGAATCAGGAGGTACTGGGTCTTTCCAGCTTCACCAGAGGAATTACTCCCAAGGCCCCAGAGCTCATCATGGCGCCCCCTGGTTTCTGTCCCTCCGGTTCAGCCTTCCGGACCCCCATCATACCAGTGAGGGTACTATACAACAACCATCCCCGCAAAGCTAGAATGGTCGGGAGCACCCCCACTGGACACTGATAAGAACAGATACTACACTTGATCTTAGCCAAAAGGCCGAGAAACTTCCAGACTGCATACAGTACATGTACTGCAGGTAGACGGGGGTGGCACAAGAAGGCTAAGCGACGTACCTGTACATCACTTAGCATATGCACGCTGGCGCACTCACAGTTTGCCGCTCCTGGTACCCGGCTGCTATCACATGGTACCTGAGCCAATCACAGCACACTGTACCATGCGATAGCTGTGTGCCAATCACAGCACACAATTGTAATAACAGCTTTTATGAAAGTAACCCATTCATGACAGTGCAAAATATTTCTGTTACAGTGGACAGCACTGTAACACCAATCAAAGTGTAAAAAAAAATCCCTGATCACCTCCCCCTTCCTCTCAGAGTAGTTCAGTGTCACTATGGTGTCACTGAACAACTCTGATGAAAGTATGTAAAAAAAAATGTTAACAAAGAAAAAAAATTTTATAAAGTTGAATGAAAAATTAATTCATAACAGCTGTGTTTCCTAAGCTGTGATTAGCCCACAGCTATCGCATGGTACCTGGGCCAATCACAGCACTGTACCATGTGAATAGCTGTAGTCAATCACAGATCACAGGTGATCACAGCTGTCATGAATGTAACCCATTCATGACAGTTGAAAATTTAAATTTTAACAGCAAAGTATTAAAAGAAAAATCCCTGATCACCCACACAGAGTAGTACAGTGTTACTATGGTGATAAAAGTGTGTAAAAAAAAAAAAACTGTAGAAAATGAAAAAAAAGTTAAAAAAATTACCAGATTTTGCACTCTCCTGTTTTAGTAAATAAACCCTTTCTTGGATACACAGAATATAACTGGTTACTAATATTTATAGGTAAAGTTGATCCAGAGAATATCCGATTGCCTCTCGGGGGGATCAGGAAGGAAATTTTCCCTCTGCAGGAGCAAATTGGATCATGCTTTGCTGGGTTTTTTGCCTTCCTCTGGGTCAATTTATAGGATTAAAACTTTTTTTTTGGTTGAACTGGATGGACCTTTGTGTATTTTTCACCAGTCAACTATGTAACTATGTAAGCCCACTGACACCAGTCACCGTTTTGTGATGACGTTGTACTGTAGTGGTGACAGTATGTAAAAAAAATTGTAAAAAAAAATTTATTTAATTTCTTCATTTCCAAAAACTGAGACAAAAAATTACTACTTAAAAAAACTCGCTATGCATCTTACTAAATGCCACAGACTGTCCACTTTCCAAAAAGGGTTCATCTGGGGGGTATTTGTACTATCCTGTATTCTAACACCTTCAAGCCCGGCCTATAGCAGATTGACAGCCAGGTGGGACACTCGTTGTTGTGACTGGGCATCATATAATATCCTGTCAAAAACAGCCATTTACGCAGCCTTTGAGCCACGAGCAGCGCGATCTGTCACTGTCTGTGTCCACGGGACACAGCTGATGACATATCACTACACTAACCCGTTGCCAGTGTCATGTGACCGCTGTGGCCAATCACAGCAATCACATTGTCGATTGTATACAATGGATGGCTTCTTGTCATGCCATCCATTGTATACAATTGAGTTGTTAGCTGTGATTGATCAAAGCAATCACATGGTACAGACAGGGCCAATCACAGCCCATCTGTATCATGTGATGAGCTTTGCCCAATCACAGCTAATCAACAAAAGATGAATTAATCAGTTTCATTCAGTAACAATGATTGCAAAAAGTATCATCAATCATAATGTGTAAAGAAAAAAAAAATCCTGATCACTTACCTAGAATAGTTCAATGTTACTATGGTAACATTGTATTGCTTTGGTCACAGTGTGTTGAAAAAAAAAAATAGTAAAAAAAATTTTAAAAATAGAAAAATTTGAAAAAAAAAATCTTTAAATTTTTTTTTTTTACATACTGTCACCAGTCAGTGCCCCTGATCACCAACACACCAGTTATATAATCATGCTGTACTGAACTGGTGACAATATGTAAAAAAAAAATTTTAAAATTGTGATTTTTTTTTTTATTTCTACATTTTCAAAAAAATTGGAACAAAAAATTACCACCTCCAAAAAACTCACCATGCCTCCTACTAAATACCTTGGATTATCTATCTTCCAAAAATTGGTAATTTGGGGGTATTTGTACTATGCTGGCGTTTCCGGGCCTCAAGAAATAAGATTGGCCGTCAGTACATTAATTGATCGATTGTCAGATATATATACCATGGTTTGTGGACTCTATAACTTTCCTACAGACTAAATAATATACACTAATTTAGGGTATTTTCACCAAAGAAATGGAGCAGAATACATTTTGACCTAAATTTATGAAGAAATGGTATTTATTTGCAAAATTTTAAAACAAAAATGAAGAAAAAGGAGTTTTTTTTTTCAAAAAAGTTTCAGGTTTTTTTTTGTTTATTTAGCAAAAAATAAAAAAACTCAGTGGTGATTAAAAACCACCAAAAGAAAGCTCTGTTTGTGTGAAAAAAATTATACATTTTTTTTATGGGTACAGCAAAGTCAAAGTGTGACAACACTAAAAGCTGAAAATTGGCCTGGGCAGAAACGAGGTAAAAGTGCCCAGTGTTGAAGTGGTTAAGGGCCTCAAGAAATGAGATCGGCCATCAAGACATGTAGCAGAATACATTTTGGCCTAAATGTATGTAGATATTTGATTTTATGGATTTGTTTTATAACAGAAAGTAAAAAATATTGTGGGGGTTTTCAAAATGTTTGTTTTTTTTCTCATTATATATATATAGCAAAAAAAAAAAAAAACCCAGTGATGATCAAATAATACCAAAAGAAAGTTGTATTTGTGCGTACATATAGCCACTGGGGGTGATAGAATTCACATACAGATAGCACCTTGTGTTTCAGAAGGCTATATGATTTTTCTAACTCTGGGAGCAGGTTCTTCATACACAGCTACAATTAAAGCCCTGGAAGAGTAATTTAAACCATCCACAAATGCTTTAGCAACCAGAGTTCACTTTTGAATGTGCTGTCAGGGTGAGGGAGAATTTATTTGCCCCTATGTTGCTGAGCTGAGACAGTTAGCAGCACCCTGCAGATTTACATAGTTATATAGTTAGTCGGCCTGAAAAAAGTCCATCCAGTTCAACCATTAAAAGAAAAAAAAAAGTTAAAATCCTTTACCTACAGTTGATCCAGATCATTACATGATGAAATTATTAAACACATCCTGTCCGGCCTTGTACATAAATGGCCGGACGGGAGCAGCGGAGGAGCGGGTGGCCGTTTATAAATGGCCTCCGCATTCACTGCCTGTGAGCGCGCAGCACCGTGATCTGGTGCGACACAGCGGAACATCAATTGTTGTACAGGACCTCTCTGTGAGGTCCCGCTCATGTGATCACTGATTGGCCAATCAGTGATCACATGAATAGTAGTAAGCAAGATGTCACTTCCTGACATCATTGCTTACTACCAGGGGCGGACTGACAAATCATGAGGCCCCTGGGCAATAGGGGATCATGGGGCCCCTGTGTCCTTGCCCAAACTCAAAAAAGCCTATGAAAAAGGTACCAGGGGCATCTCATGGGCCCCCTACTGACCCCGGGCCCTCGGGCAGTGCTCGAGTTTCCAAATGGTCAGTCCGCCCCTGGTTACTACTATTGAAATCTGTGAATGATCACAGACGTCACATGGTACAAGGCTATTCACAACAGCCTTGTACCATGTGACGAGCTGTGACCATTCACAGAATGCAGCCAGAGAGAAGGAGAAGTGATTGCTTTTACAGCCTTTATGGTTGTAAAAGCAATCAGTGTAAAAAAAAAAAAAAATCTTCATCACCCCCCACAAGTAGTACAGTGTCACTACGGTGACACTGTACTGCTAGGGTGACAGTATGTTAAAAAACATAAAAAAACGAAATAATAATATAAAAAAATAAAATGTAAAAAAAATGTAAAAAATTATAATTTTTGTTATAAACTAATTTGGGTTGGTTTTTTTTTTTTACTAAAAAGATAGCTGAATACGTTTTGGCCAAGATTTATGAAGAAAGAGTATTTATTTGCAACATTTTATAAGAAAAACACTTTTTTTCAAAATGTTTGGACTTTATCATTTATATAGCAAAAAAATTTAAATCCCAGTGGTGAATAAATACTACCAAAATAAAGTTTTATCTGTCTCAAAAAAATTATAAAAAATTCATATGGGTACAGTGTTGCATGACCGCGCAATTGTCATTCAAATTGTGATAGCACTGAAAGCTGAAAATTGACCTGGACAGGAAGGGGGTGAAAGTGTCTGGACTTGAAGTGGTTAAAGACCAAATTATTGAAAAGACTACAAACCCAAAACTGAGTGAAAGGTTGCATATGGAGTCAGATATAGTTACTTTGCTAAGACCTGTGGATTTCGGATGCCAGATGGGAAAGGCTGTGCAGGCAGCCAGGAATATGCTATGCCCCATGGATGGCAATGAAGCTCCTGTTCAAGTACAAAATCTGACTGACAGAACACCAAATGCACATTGTTCTAACTATGGAGGTACCATGAAGCTCTGCCCTGCAGGTGTTGTAATGATCTGAACCACTTTGCTAAATGTTGTTGTTCCATCCCAAGTACATTTGTTCATCACTTAAAGCCGGCATATCAGGAGCCTGACGGAATGCAGTGTTATGCAATCAGTAAAGATCAGACAAATGTTAAACTCTTTCACTGTGTAATCGCTAAGTTCAAATTCTGCTGCTGCTAGACACAGGAGCAAAGGGTTCCATTTTGAATGCAGCAATCCACAATACCCATTTTCACCATTACCCACCCCAGGAGGCACTGACTACCCTAATGAGCTACAGTGCCCAAACTTCAGTGTTCGGTGAGTTATATTACCTGGCACACACCAAAACAAGCATTTAGGCAGTTTTGCATTTTATGTCAGTGAAAGTGAAGCCAACCTCTTAAGATTAGACTTGTTTCATGCACTGGGATTGGACGGTTCTGGATCAGACAGATGCAGAAACATGCCTGATAGACAATGTCTGGAAAAAAAAGACTCCCACAGGCCCTCACTGGACTGGGTCACATTTATTTATTTTATTTATTTATTTCAGGTACTTATATAGCGCCGTCAATTTACACAGCGCTTCATGTATATATTGTATATTCACATCAGTCCCTAACCCTCAAGGACTGTACAATCTAAGGTCCCTGACTCACATTCATACATACACATACTAGGGCCAATTTAGACAGGAGCCAATTAACCTACCAGCAGGGTGGACTGACAACTCATGGGGCTACCGGGCAATAGGGGATTATGGGGCCCCCATGTCCTCGCCCACACCCAAAAAAGCCAATGAAAGGTACCAGGGGCATCTCATGGGGCACCCTACTGACCCTGGGCCCTCAGGCAGTGCCCGAGTGGCTAAATGGTCAGTCTGCCCCTGCCTACCAGCATGTCTTTGGAGGGGGGGGAAGAAACCCGTGCAGGTAAAGGGAGAACATGCAAACGCCAGGAAGGTGGTGTTGTGGCTAGGATTTGAACCAACGACCCTGGTGCTGCCAGGTGGAAGTGCTAACCATTTAACCACTGTGCTACCCCATTCTAAAATGTTCACATTATTCCAGAGCTGAACCCTCAGATCTCTCCAGTGATGCAGCGCCTGCTCAGACCCCTCCCTCTTAGTAGTTCAGACTGCAGTCAAGAGCTGCAAAAACTCCTTCAAGACAGTATAATAGAACCTAATGACTCCTTCCCATGAGTTTCCAACCTATTCATAGCCAAAAAGAAAGGATGATAAATTTGACTATGTGTCGATCTTCGCCAGATAAACAAAGCAGTAATACCGGGCTGTTACCCACTGTCTACTATAATTTCCTAATGCCATGGGTCAAGATTCTTCACCAAACTAAACCTCCATAAAAGCTACTTGCAAAATCCCACTTGCATTGCCAGGAACCTAACAGCTTTCATTACATATCTGAAGCATTTCTGATTTAAACACATGCCTTTTGGGCTATGCTAAGCCCTGAGCTGTTTCCAAAAAATATTGGTTACTGTTTTTGCAAGAATACCTGGTGTAACAATTTGCATGGATGATACCCTTATCCATGCACCAACTCTGTAGGAACAGAATTTAAGGCTGGCCATAGATGGTTTGAATCGGCCTGCTGAACCGGCCGAGATTCAAACCATGTATGGGCAGGATGAATGTACCCAAGTTGATCAATCGATCAACTTGTTCGTGATTGTGCATGAAAATCTCAGTAGATTAGCAGTTTTTTACTCAAAACAGCCCGTCTGGCACCAACAAGCATGTCACGTTCAAAGTCACTTAAATCTCCTTTCTTCCCTATATTGATGCTCAGTTTGAACTTCAGCAAGTCGTCTTCACCACGCCTACATGCCTAATGCAGGCCATAGACGGGCCGTTAATCAGCCGATAAACGAAAAATCGGTCGATGCCATTGCCGACGCTGCCACCAATGCTCATGAAAGAAGGGGACAAGAAACCAGTTTAACAGAGACAGGGGAGCACACCATACAATGTGACAGCAATACAAATACATTATGGTTTTTATTTGGATACAAATGGATACATTTGTTGCAACCACAAGACTTTTTCATATTAAATATAATCTAATATAAATATATATAATATAAAATCTTTTTCCTCTCTCCTTCCCTCATTACCTTTTCTAGGAATACAATTTAATTTTGGACTTTCATAAACTATATATACATATACATGTGTGTGTGTGCATTTACAGTAAAAAGAATGCTGGCAACCTTGCAGGTCACGGCTCATGTGCAGATTTTTTTTATCGGTAAAGCGATCGGCCGATTTGCCATCATTGCTGGGAAAATCGGCCAAATCTGCCAGGAATTTTCCAACATGACCGATAAAAAAAACTGTGCAAAAAACCCAAAAAACGGCCGACCAATTAACCCACTAACAATGCAAAAATCAGACGATTTTTTTTCAGCTGAAAAATCGGACGATTTTCGACCCATCTATGGCCGGCATAAATGCATGGAGTTGCTGCCATGTGATTGGCTGATTAGCAATTTGTGTTAACAAGCAACTAAACAGGTGTACCTAATAAAGTGGCCGGTGAGTGTATGTGTATATATATATATATATATATATATACACACACACACACACACAGGCATAACTCTGTTTACGAATTTAATTCATTCTGCGGGACTTGTCGTATTGCGAAAAATTTGTAAACCAAAATGCAGTTTCCCATAGGAATGCATTGAAAACCAATTAATACATTTCGGAGGTCAGAATAAAGTAAAAAAAAAGTCTTTTATCTGTTCAAAACTCTTTATAAAGTGCACTTTAAAGGCATAAATACTGTACATAAATGCATTGAAAACCAATTAATCCGTTCGTATTGCGAAAAAAAATTCGTAAACTGAGCCATTATTTTCAATGGATTTTCATTCGTAAACCAAAAATTACATTAACTGAGGCGTTCGTAAATCAAGGTACACCTGTATTTTTTTTTTCTTTACATATTTTCAAACTTTTCCAGTTTCTGTTAAATTATTGCTGTGTGTGTCTATCCTTTGAAGAGATTTCCTCTCACTTACTGTACTATGTGACACATCACCAATGCACAGGAACTGAGGGGGTCTTCCCAAAGGGGACACAGACAGTAGATGACAGTTCAACAAATTTTTACACAGGCTCTAACCCTTCTCCACACTATGCAGAACTGAATAGAGTTTTGCCAGGAGTGAGGCTGTAATATTTTATTGGGCTGAATAAGGCTCCTCATTTAGGCACTGATATTTACTGGTCATATGAAAAGCAAGTTCCTAAATGGTTCTATATACATGTCATTGCGCACTGTTTTTGTCCAAGGCATCCTGCCAAAAATCTAATAGCATATTATCCCTTAATGCCTATGACCTATGCTATGATACATTGAATACATTTTCACTTTTGCTATTGTACACTGTCAGATAATCCTGTGTGTATTAAATGTTGTACATAAAAATAGAACAGCATTACAAAATATATATATACATGGATAGTACTGCTTCCAACTAATACTAGCCCATGTTTCTGTAAGCATCTACCAGAGGTATTCCAGTTATTGCCATTAGTAATTGTATTTGCATCACATTACATTTACATACATGTTACTTGATAATTGTTGGCTTGTATCCTTCATTGTACATGTTAGATCTCCCATTAAGTGCATTCATCTAGCTATCAGCTGCTAAATAGGTCTGTCTAAATTTGGCATCCTATGCACTCTTTCACAACTGTCATCTGTTCTTTCCTCCCCTCCTCCATAACTTTTGCTCTTGTGTCCTGCTTATATCTCCAGTTGTCTCTTGGACTAACTCTTTTCACTCTGTCTTTTTTGCTGTTTTACCTCTCTCCTTGTAAAAACCTTTTCCCTACCCAGGACACTTTTCCGGTAAAGTATTTATATTTTTTTTGTATTTTATTGTATTACTTTGATATGGTAAAATTAAGTTCTATTTGTGTCATTCAAAATCATGTATATGTGATGTCAATGAAAACGTTCATTCCAGTAGTAAGTGCTCATTTACCTTGTCAAAATACAACCCAACATTTATGGCTTTTAATGAAAATGCTGATTTTTCTTGACTATTTTTTTTTTTTTAGTTTATTCTTGGAATGTATTCCCCAATCAAGTCATATCTGATTTCTAAATCACTTTCAACCTAAACTGCCTATATTAAAGCAAATATATCATATAGTTTAGCTATGAGCAATTTAAAACTCTTCTGTAATGATGTATTTTTCTGCTGATGTTTGAGTGTTGAATTATATGTGTTCCCCTATGCTGTTGATTTGGTAATTTAAGTCTATATCTGTAATGTGTTTTAACTGATCACGCTAACAAACCACACGATGGATTTGAGCAGTGCCCAAAATAACTAGTGACTGTGCAACAGGTGTCATGTGTCTGAATGTCTGCCCATGAAGGAACATAGGGGGATGGTGCTGCAGAAGAAAGGGACTTGATAATATTACAGTACGATAGAATTTATAAATACTATTTATTTTTTAAATAGAAGCGCTTTGTTTGTTTACTTATGCAGTTATAAACTTTAAGCAATAATCGTAATTTGTAATCTACACTTGGGGGTAAATGTAAAAAGCAGTTAAGCTCCATTCACACTTATGGCTCATGTACACGGGACGTTTAGAAAACACTTCTGACCGCTGGAAACTGATTGCTGGAAAACGTAGGTTAAAAAAACGTATGTTTAGCCACGTTTGCATACAGCGTTTATGCACGTTTGCGTTTAGAAGCGTTTTTTTTAAAGATATCATCAGGAGACCTTCCAAAATGCCCAGAATGCACTAAAAAACAGTAAAAAATGAACTATTTCAGACATTCTGAGAGAAATAGAGAGAGCAGAAGCAGAGAGAGCAATAAGTGTTGAGATGACCTGTCTTTTCGGTTGTATTCCCTATGGATCCCATCATGAGCATAATGCAGCACGTTCTACCATTTTTTCCTTCACGCGAAACCTGGAACTGACTGCACTGGTGTGCTAGGTCCATTTGAATACATGGAAAATACTTTGCGTGCATTTCTGATGATGAAAAAAGGCTCTGGCTAGCATCTGCATATGGAACAGTTAAAAAACGCTTCTAAACGCAAACGCTTATAAACGCAGTTAGCCAGGTTTACATGCATTTACAAGCGTTTGGTTTTTGAAACCGCTGATAAAATCTACTCCTGAACGCAAGTTTGGTGCGTTCAAAAAAACGACTGTAAACTCAACTGCCTGTAAACGACTGTAAACCAAGATGTGTACATGGACACATAGGAAAACATTAGGGAGAGTTCAGGGGCTGCTGAAAAAAAACACAAAAAAGCTCCTGAATGTCAGTTTATCAGCTGCAGTGTACATGAGCCCTTAGGCATTTCAATTTGCAGGCGGAATCGCCGTGATTTTGCCTGCATCTTGAAAATGCGCTGTGAAAATGTGAAAACGTGCATTCACATTTTTGCCATGATCGCGGCATGTTTTTTCAGCGTGACAAAATGTGCCGAAATCATGCAAGCAAAACCATGAGACGCACAATACCCAGAAACGATTCTG